GGACCGCCAGGAGAGAGAAATCGACGCCTTCGACATGGAGAGCCTTCGTATGGGTTTCAATAACTTGGGTGCTTTGGACTACCCTAAAGATGACTACAGATGAGACCGTAACACTCCACCGTCCTCGCTCTTTCCTGGTCACACACCTTTTTTCTTTTGCCGTTTTTGCTACTGACAGTCCGATCAATCCTCTGGGCTGGTGCCTGCACAGGCCTCTGCAAGACAACATGCTGGATAACGTCCTTTAGTTGTCTCTTTTTATATATAAATATTATATACGAGACGATTAAATGTGTCACAGTGTTGATGTCAATGTTTTCTCGTGCAATGATAACACTTTCGGTGTAGCTCAAATTAAAATAGAGATTTCAAGACAAAAGCAATACGAACTAGGGGGTTTGCATTGCTAATTTTAATCCAGATGCACTCGCGCACAGGTTTTGTTCTTTTTGCAGATGTTTTGATGGGCGAAGTGTCATTTAAGAATTTTTTTTAAACTGTATTTTTGTTTTTTTGCAGCCCACTGCCTCTCGCTGCTTGAATCCCTATTTGGTATTTATTCATCCAGAAAAATGATGAAAAAACCTTTTATTAAGTACTGAAGAGATTTGATAAAGTTTGCATATTAAAACAATGTACATATTTGATAGGTGCATCTGTGACTCTGAGATTCTTATGGTATCCAGCCATTTTTTTTCTTTTTTGGGAGAACAGTGCATTCATATGTACAATACCGTAAATCACCTCAGCTGAGGTGCACAATGTGAATAATACATATGTGAATCCTAAACTCGTGGTACCTGCACAAAGGGCTGAAGGGGAAGGGACATGTATTTTGTGTATAGAAGGATTTATGGAGAACTTTTACTTATTTTCCTATTACATTTTAAATGAATTTCAATTTCTTTTTATAAATATACATACACATCTATATATAATAAATGTTTCACCACCCTTTCCCTCCTGCAGTTACTGGTGAAATTGTCTCAATGGCCTCTTATTTCATGATTCTGTTTGGTTCTCTGCATCTTCTCCAGCTGTGTATTTTCTACAAAGTCAAATTAGTGAACAAAAACGCTTTACTGTCGCATGCACTTTACATTTGTTTTCAGATTAAGAGGCATGATTCTGTCAGAGCTTTTAATTATATTTGTAAATAAAGTGCTCATCACACAAGCAACATCTTTCCATAGTCTGATTTTATTATCCAGGATTTATTTTCCCCAATGTGTTCATTTCCAGTATATAGTGGTGAGAAATTCATCAAATTAAAGGTGCAGCCCAAAAAAAACACAAATTTGACTTTAATTCATATTCAAAGGTGCAAAGTCTTTCTTTTTAACCTGAAGGTAGTCCAAATGCTTCCAAGCGAAGAGACACAAAAGGCAGCATAGATTGAAGTTGCTTCATTTCAATTCAACTAGAACAAAAGATGACTTGAATTTCACAATTTCTGCACAGCTTTTAAATCAAAACACAGCTTCTCTAGTTCATTATTTTTTTATTTTTGAAATAGCTGAATTGAAAATATACTGAGTCAAGGTCTGACCAGAATAAACGGCAATAACTTATTCTAAATGGTCTTTATTTGCCAGCCAGCTGTTCGTAAAGTTTGGGCACGTAGTCGTCCCACTCTGCCTGGAAGCAAGACCCAGCGAGCGGAGCACCGAGGCCATATTTCTTGCGGAAACTCTGGATCTTGAATTTCCCACGGTTGTCTCCAGAGCGATTGGTGAGGACGCGTTCGGTGCAGCTGATGCTATCTGACTGCTCGTAAACCAGCCACAGGTAACGATGGAGACCTGAGGAAATCATACGCAAGTGTTACTCACTATTGATACAACCACTTGTGTTATTCAGAGCCATAGAGAGAAAGAGTTGCGACACTCCCATAGACCGCCATAGGAACTTTGGAATGCGGAAGTAACGCGTTTCGTGGAGCAGCCGATAGTTCCAAACACTGATAGTTTCTCCATTGAACCCCATTCATTTTCAGTGCTTCCGAAGTACGCTCGCTGGTAAATTAATGAAATTACTGTATTTTTTTTAACTTTTACACACATAGCCGACGCAGACCTCTCGTGAATCTAGTCTGTAGTTATATTTTATGTAGCCAGTTTTAGTAAATGTTTATTGGAAGATAATAGGTTAATTGCAGCTATAGCTTACGTGACCAACACTTCACTAACTTACGGTAACTGATGTATATAATATATAATATTTTTAATAATATTTTATATGTATGTATGTATGTATATATATATATATAGCCTATATATAATATATATACATACACACACACACAATTCATTTATTTAAAGGGGTCATATAATGCCATTTTTGTACAAGCTAATATGATTCTTTAGGGTCTAAATTAAAAGTTTGTAATATACTTTAATTAAAAATTCTCATTAGTATTGTAAGAAAACACTTATTTTACCTGGTCAAAAACAGCTCTGTTTTCAGCACGCCGTTTCAGTGCATATGACTTTAAATGATCATGAGCTGTGCTCACTCCGCCCCCTCTGTTCTGTGCATACACCGTTTGTAACACAATAACCATAACGCGTTGTTCAGTATAAACGTGGAATTATGAATTATATTGAGAACGTCATACATAGAAAACATGCCGTAATGTACCCTGACTGAGTGTAAACCTTAGACGCATTCATTGTGAAGCGTGCAGCTAGCGATTTGCAAAGATTAATATATTAATATAAAGTTTAATAAAACGTTTCACTCACTTCCGTTCTTCTGGAGGTTCAGTAGGAACACGAATATCTGGTACCGATCCTTTTTAGCTAAGCTTAGCAAATCCAGCTTTATACTGACCCTCGTTTATAAAGCAGTCTGGTGTGTGAAATGATTCGCGCAAACATGAAGCATTGACGTTGCTCGTGTGGAATATTCCCTTCGAAAACAAAACTCAGCCACTGCGTCTTCAGCGGTTCGGATTTGGGAACATTAAAATGACTGCTGTGTTCGTTATTGCACCCAAGAACAGAACACCACAATTGCTTAGACGCCATTCTGCTCATAGACAGTGCTCCGGCATATCAACAATGACCGCGCCGGTCCGGTCCGCGCCGCGCAGACTATGATTGACAGCTACCTCATGTGCAAGGGCGGGTCTGTGTTGAAACGCTCCCGTCAATCAATCGTGGGAGGGGCGTCCGTTTTATTGACGTCACAAAAACGAACGGCTTGATTTGAGGCAGGGGAAAACATATAAGGAGATTAAAACAAAACCACTGGATGGATTTTTATCATTTTATGATGTTTGTGTACAGGCACTGCCAACACACATTTCAGTACAATCAACTTGTAAAAGTGCATGTACCATTATATGACCCCTTTAAATGGGTTAGGGTTATGCATATATGTGCTTATATGTATTTAGGAACATAGTTAATTCACTCATTAACTATCTCTCCGGTTTAATTTTATGAAGAATATTTTTCGGTTGAATATTTACCGAACATTGCTGTATATAGTCGTTGCTTTCTACGTTATGGGAGCAGTCTATTTCCCTCCTAAATCATTCATTTGTACATGCACAGCGTAATTATTGATATTTTATGTTGGTTGGAGTTCTGAACGGACTGCAGACCTCTTTGCGTGATCACGAAGGTAGGCTAATGGCTGAATCGGAATTTATAAGCAAGATCACGGGAATCAATAGCCTAATACAGCCCAGTTGTGCTAAAATAAATATCATGAGACGTCCATCATCAGATGAATGACATGGAAAAGTTAAGTTAGAGCCGCTAAAGCCAGTGCTAGGGGTGGAACGGTACATGTATTCGTATTGAACCGAAACGGTACGGGCGTCACGGTTCGGTGCACGAATTTGCACGCAGAATACACGGTACAAATAAAAAAAAAAAAACTCTTAAATAGCGATAAATTTCGCTCTATTCGCTTTTGGTGTGACTGTTAACGCAGCAATGAACAGGCTGCGATCAAGATTGCAATGCAGGAGTGTGTGTGTCTGTGTGCGCGCGAGAGAGAGAGAGAGAGAGAGAGAGAGGCGCGATGAACAGTGTGTGTGCGAGAGAGAGAGAGGCGCGATCGAACAGTGTGTGTGTGTGTGCGCGCGCGTGCGAGAGAGAGAGAGGCGCGGGCGCGAATCGCGCGATGAACAGTGTGTGTGTGTGTGTGTGTGTGTGTGTGTGTGCGCGCGCGCGCGAGAGAGAGAGAGAGGCGCGGGCGCGAATCGCGCGATGAACAGTGTGTGTGTGTTTGTGTGCGCGCGCGTGCGAGAGAGAGAGAGAGGCGCGGGCGCGAATCGCGCGATGAACAGTGTGTGTGTGTGTGTGTGTGTGTGTGTGTGTGTGTGTGTGTGTGTGTGTGTGTGTGTGTGTGAGAGAGAGAGGCACGGGCGATCGAACAGTGGAAACGTAAAAAAATACTCCGTCATTTTTTTCATACAGGACATCATTAAAACTGCAAATTGTTTACTTATATTTGTGTACACTGGAAATAAAACACAACATTTTGCTTTTGTCACACTCTAAACTCGTGTCAAACTGTAACCTACAACTGTTAACAAAAGTTTTTATGGTAGTATTATTTTATACGGAAATCAATTATTTATAATTCAGATGAGAATAAAGTTAGTTAATTAAAATGAAGGAAAACAAATATCTTGATCTGAAATAGCAAATTAATTTTAAATTCATTCAGGTACAATTACCAAACATATCTCAAGGTCTTTTCGTCTTTTTAATAATTTAATTAATAAACTAATTATATAAAACTACTGTCAGTGCACTACAAATAAACAGGTTCTATGCCTTTATTAATAAAACTTATTTAAAAAAATACAAGGTTTAAGACATTTATAAAAATGCCTTCTGCATTTTTGCTTTGCTTTTCACTCCATTGTACCGAAATCGTACCGAACCGTGATGTCTGAACCGAGGTATGAACCGAACCGTGACTTCTGTGTACCGTTCCACCCCTAAGTGCTACCATGCGAACATAAACACTAAGCGTTTCCCTCCAAAAATATAGCCTAAAACTTATCTAAGTTGTCACCCTGCCTCTCCAAATGCAAAACTGACATTAACAAAATGCAATAACAGCTGAAAAAGTACTTGGGTGTGTGTTTTATTTTATATTTACCATTTAATAATGCAATCGCTGCTGTCTGTCCATAGAAGAACATGACAGCCCGCGTATGTTTTGGAACTATTGGGGCTTACATGAACCACGTGACAGCCGTCGCGGCGACATCAAAGCGTGTCGCAACTCTTTATCTCTATGGCTCTGGTGTTATTCTGCTGATTGGATACAATATATTCAGCGACATTTAAGACGGTCAATATGTGCGTTCGACTCGCCCTCATTCCAAACACGTAAGACTTTCGTTCATCTTCAGAACACAAATGATTATTAAGATCTTTTTGATGAAATCTAAGAGATTTCTGTCCCTCCATTTGATACCACTTTGATGCTTCAATAAGTTCATAAAGAGATCGTAAAACGAATCCATATGAATTGAGCGGTTTAGTCCAAATTTTCTGGTAGAGACACGATCGCTTTATATGATGAACAGATTTAATTTAGGCTTTTATTCACATATAAATATTGAGCAGTGAACATAAACAAGCTCAACCGAACATGCTTGAGGCGCAAGAACGAACCTTATTAGTTCTTGCTGAAGCTCAAACGTCCTGCATAACACAAGAACAAACCTCATTGGTTCTCACACGTCAATCGAACATGCCTGATCATAATGTGTGATTTGATCCATTTTTATATGTGAATAAAAGCCTAAATTCAATCCGCTCATCATAAAAAGCGATCGTGTCTCTTCAGAACATATTTGACTAAACCGCTCATTTCAAATAGATTAGTTTTACGATCTCTTTATGAACTTTTTGAAGTGTCAAAGTGGTAGTTGCTTAGCTGTCAACGGAGGGTCAGAAAGCTCTCAGATTTCATTAAAAAGATCTTCATTTGTTTTCCAAAGATGAACGAAAGTCTTACAGGTTTATATCACAGTGTTTGCATACTTGATCACAAATGAAGTGAATCGCACGCAATATTTGTCAACTGCACAGACATTTTCATGTACTAACACTTTTCATTCAATACTTTATGTACTGCTTTCTACATCGCCTGTAACATATGCCTATACTATTTAAATACCAATAAAGTGGAATATATATTTTTTAGCAGTTTTATATATTTTTTAAACATGATGCAATATAACATTAAAATTACATGAAAATAGTTACATTTATAAAAATACAGACTTGCGAGCGTCAGCAGAACTGAAGGTGTCAAATGAACAACAAAAAAAAAACATTAAGAATAATAACTGGCATGCACTGCTTCAAGTCAGATGGCATTTGGCCTGAGCAGTGCTGCATGAAGTCGAACACACCTAATCTGAGCTCTCACCTGTTCCCTTCGGGGGTCCTGCACCAACGTAGTCCGACATCACACATCCACTGGAGATGTCATTTCCTTTCATGTTGACAACAAGGAAGTGGTGCCATTCCCTGAGATTAAACACAACAATTATAGCAGATTTCAATATCCTGACTCTAACCTGTAATCTTTGGTTTAGTTCTGATACAATGAATATGGCTGATTGATCTGACAACATACCGAAATTTGGGGTCTTTTCGGCTGGGTGCATCTGGATCGGTCATGGCCAATGTGTACAGCTTACCGGGGTCACATCCCTCCCACTCAACGGATGTGGGCCGATTCTGCACCTGCACAATGAAAGTTAAACAACAAAGATGCACATAAGTATGTAACAATCTTTTGAGATGACAAACACATAATTACTATAAATTCGTAGTGCACATTACTTCTATAAATTATAAAGCATAATATACAAATGTAGATCTACAGCTACACAAACTTGACAGCATGTATTCATATGTATCATATTGTGTATCTTCTTTATACATTTTGTATGAATAATGCATATGTTACTTCTGGAAAATTATAACCTTGTACAAGTGGTCACCATTATTAAAATAAATTTAGAATTTTTTTGCACTTAAATAGTCTGATTTTTTTTGTAAATATTTATGTGGTATTTCAATTAATATGGGATAAAAAAAAACTGTTTCAATTAAACATTTTTATGTGATTTATATGTCCCACTCCAAGATGCTGCTGTCTGCTTAACATGCCAAAAAAACATTTATACATTATGTATTTATTATTGCATTTTATTATATTAATTATAATGCAACACAATTCGAAATAAGTTTTATTGTAAAACAGCTGACAACTGATTTAGGCAACACCATTTATTCTTCTATGTACTCTATCCATGTAGAAAAGACCATTAGCTGTTCCAGCAAACATTTTTTTTCCCCGGCTGGATGTAGTATTTCTTAAACTTATACATATATGTAATACATATTAGCTTGTACTTGTATTTATTTATAAATTCAGAACACTTTTATCCCGCCTGCCTAATTTATGTCTTGTTATGCAGGTCTCTTCTAATTCAAGCTGTAGGCTGTAGCCAATTAATTTGCAGCTCAAATATTTTGCACGAAGTACGCAGAGAAAGAGAGACCACATTGGGATCACGTGATCGTGGAATTCTAGACAGATGCAACTTTGGCTGCGTGCGTCCGCATTACATAACTACAGACAAACTGCATTTAATTCTACCCTCTTTAGTCAATGCAAATGCACAAAAATAAATAAATGCAAAACTGCATTAAAATGACCCTCCTCAAACATGATGCAGAAGCACAGCTAGCCACAAGCACTGGCCTAATTCCTGCATTGGACTCTAACCTGAGTGGGTGTGAACACTTTACCCAGCGCGTCAATTTCCAAAGAGCCATATTTGACCGTTAGAGGCTTGTCTGGCTGTTCCTCCACCTCTGTAAGAGCTAGAGAACCAGTCCATTCAGTAATATCCACAGGCATGGTGACTAACGGATCTTGCGAGATATCAACACAGCAGAAAAGTAGAGCTTCTGTCTCCCCCTACAGTTGTTTTATTGTGATTGTTCATTAAACTGTTCAGTGACTGGCATAGCCAATCAACTTGCCGCAGCTGACCATGATCTTAATTTTGATTGGTCAGATGGTCTGCCAACATTCTTCGACCCGCCTCCTGTTCTGATAGTAATGGAAAGTTCGACTCAATTCCGCGAATCGGTTCTTTTGAGCACTTCAGCCGAAATTGTTTATTTTCTAAAAGAACACAACACTATAAATAACAACCAAGGAAAAAGTGGAAACCGCAAACGTGAAATAGAAGACAAATTAATGTACATTAATCATTTAAATAATTTTTTGGTGGCTTTTTAAAATCAGAGTGGTTACTGTCTGTAGCCATGGTTCATGTCATAACACAGTTATTTAAACAGCCTATGATTTGCATTTTGAATATTGAATTTATAAGTAAATGTTAATTTGCATCTCTTGATCTCTTGATTGATCTAATTATTATTACTATTATCATCATTCGTGTTTTTTAAACAACTTTGTTTTGTATGCGATTCGTAATCAAACTGGTTCATTCAATTCACTGAAAAGATCCGACTCAAATGACCAAATTTGTTCACGAATCAGACGTCACTGCTGACAGCGGTCAAGTTCAAAAGCTTTTCTAAAGAGCTTTTCGTTCTGTAAACTCTTGATTGTAGTTAATCAACTGATTAAAATTAGACTCGAGCCATACTAGACACAATGTCATAACATAAAATTAGAAAACAACGTTAAAACATTCACCCAGGCATAATTCAAGGCACCTATAACGGCTGACAGGGGTCTTGCCTCCTGAACAGTATGGCTGCCTTCAGTAGAGGCAGACACAGGATTAAAGCTTTCAGGACATTAATATTTACAAGACCTTTTACAGGTAATGTTTATTGAATATTCAGATTAATTGTCGCAACGCTTTTTCGCTCAATTATTTTGTTCAAGATGTCAATATCCGTAATCTCGTAATTTACCTGGTTATATATAATGCAGGCAATTCATATGTAACATACCCATAATTTAGCAATAATGCCCAGTGCATGTGCGAAACAAATTAATAGTTGAAACTAAGGCATGATGTTAAGAGCAAATATCACATATTGTTAAAGTCTCTGTGGTTGAATGACTTGCAATCTTGATTCCAGCCAGGAAATTTGATTATGATCTGGTGGTTTTTGGTGGAGGCTCTGGAGGGTTGGCATGTTCAAAAGAAGGTATTTTTCATCTCTACTTTAGAGTTTGGATTATCTACTTCATTTACAGTCTGTTATTAAGAATGGCATTTCTCCTTAATGTATCTAAGTAAGATGAAATTTGATGTTTTCTTTGATGCTTCACACTTTTTTATTGCTTGCAGCTGCCCAATTAGGTCACAGAGTTGCTGTTTTGGACTATGTTGAACCTTCACTCAAAGGTACATGCAGACAGAACCATTTATAGTTGTCATCTATTTGCTGGTAATGTATTTATTTCCAAAACAACTAATCAGCTCATGCTGCCTTTAGGCACAAAGTGGGGTCTTGGTGGGACGTGTGTGAATGTCGGCTGTATTCCAAAGAAGCTTATGCACCAGGCGGCACTGCTTGGCACTGCTGTCAAAGATGCTAGGAAGTATGGCTGGCAAATCCCAGAATCCCTGTCACATGACTGGTGAGTTTCATGGATCTATATCAGAGACTGTATGTAGAAACATTGCTTGTAGCCAGAGCTGCCTTGTTGCAATAAGTGTGGCTAATACTGATCAGAGCATGTTATGAAATTCATGTAATATTCAGGATGAGGTTTTGTTTCAGGTCAGTGACATAAATACTACTTTCATAAACACTCTATGTGGCACAGCGCCATCTTGTGGTGAAAAACCAGATATCTAACGGGTCAAATCCAATAATTTCACTAGAGGGCACTCCAGGTCTGATAAAAAGGTTAGGGGTTTTACAGGTTTTAAATGCTGGCCTTTAAATACAACTTCCAATACAGCTACAATAGCAATGTTGAGTTGTATTATTATTATTTTTTAAACTAACAGCTTTGGAGATGGATAATATAGCACGTTCTGCATTGTTGGCTAGACAAATGATTAATTAAGCTGTCATCTCCTCCAACCTGTCGTCTATGGGGGTTTGACCTTCTGTTTGCCCTCAAACTTGTAAAGATTAAATTTAAAGTCAGAGGAAACCCAGTATTATAAATTATGGAGCCCTTTTATACATTACTTTAAGGACAGGAACTTGTGTTAAAATGTCTTTATTTAGGTATTAATGCGTATGCATATATTACTGTTATATTATGTGTATACAGGTGAAACTCGAAAAATTTGAATATCGTGCAAAAGTTCATTTATTTCAGTAATTCAACTTAAAAGGTGAAACTAATACGTGTATTATATAGACTCATTACATGCAAAGTGAAATATTTCAAGCCTTTATTTGTTATAATTTTGATGATTATGGCTCACAGCTTATGAAAACCTTTTCACAATATTCTAATTTTGAATTTGGGGTTTTCATAAGCTGTAAGCCATAATCATCAAAATTATAACAAATAAAGGCTTGAAATATCTCACTTTGCATGTAATGAGTCTATATAATATATTAGTTTCACCTTTTAACTTTTGTAGCTTTTTTTTTTCATACTATGAAAGTCAACTTGAGGGTGAGTAAATGATTTAGGGTGAACTATCCCTTTAACTAACGATGAGCAATACATTTGTTTAATTAAAACGGATTAATTCATCTTTGTTTACATTAGTTAATAAAAAATACAGCTGTTCATTGTTACTTCATGTTAGCTCAGGTCCATTAAATAATATTAACAGATACAACTTTTGGTTTTAATAAAGTATTAGTACATGCTGGAATTAACATTGATTAAGATTGATCATTGTTAGTTTGTTAACTAATATGAACAAATGGAACTTATATTGTAAATTGTTACCAATTTATCTCCTCTTTATAGCTCATTTAAATCATGTGCATGTGCTCAAACCTATTTTAGTGCAGAAGTTGATAGATGAAATATTAGATCTCAAATGTTGTGACCAGATAGAGAAGAGAAGTTTTTGTGTAATCTGTTGCAGGCCAACGATGGCTGAGGCTGTCCAGAACCATGTGAGGTCTATAAACTGGGGCCACAGAGTGCAACTACAAGACAAGTAAGTTTTACTATTAAAACAACATGGCCAAAATGTTCTTTTTCCATTATGGTTTGTATGTTTTACATGGAGCCCATTTGTCAATCAAGAATAACTTAAACGCAACTAAACTGTTTATTTCGTGTAGTTAATGATTGCTATTTCTGTGCAGATCCCATCAAGCTTTTTAACATCATCCTTATAATGTTACTCTGACTTTGGCTGTTGGAAAAAGTAATTTACATCAGTAGACTAATGGGTCAGAATCTGGGTTTTTGGACCACAGGTTGAGGGTTAAAAAAATGTTATCATCATTTTTGTATTCCAGGAGGGAAATGTTTTACGTCATTTGTTTAGTTAGTTAGTTCTATTCCAAATTGTGGGAGAATCGTGATCACTATGTAAAAAAAAAAAAATGTTATTCTCAATTTATCCAGAATCCTGCAGCTCTAGCTTGTAGTGAGTGTCCAGCACTTCCCTGAGGGCAAAAACGGTGTATTAGCTAATTACTTAAAAAGATTGCAAATGATTTTGGATGAAATACACAGACATTATAGAGCAGAATCTTTATTTCCCTGTAGATCTCATTAGCTGTCTATCTCTTTCACCATCTAATCAGGTAATTACAGTCTGAGGGTAAATGAATGTGCCATTGTGATAAATTGTCCTAAATTTCAGCCGTCTTACTGTATGGCTGTGAGGCAAACAGGTGTGGTGATGTCATTTCCCAGAATGCTCCAAATGTATGTCTTGATGTTAGAGCAGAGGTGTCAGTTTGGGTTTGAACATCAATATTATGAATGATCTAATCTTGTTTTGTTGTTGAGCTTTCTTACATCTCCATGACTTTGTAGAAATGAATTCACTGACTTTTGCAAAGTTGATGGGGAATTGTGATGTCAGTTACTATCTCTCTTACTTCGACTTTCTATCTCTCTGTCCGATTTAACAGGAAGGTGAAATATTTGAATATGAATGGCAGTCTGGTGGATAAACACACTATCAGAGCTGTAAATGCCAAAGGGAAAGAGGTATGATTTAGAATTTACAGCAACTTAATTCTCTAAAATGTTATTTAATCACCAATCTCTTGTGCCATATTCCTGATTATCCTGCATCGTTGTATTCACAGATTACATTGACCACCAAAAACATTGTGTTAGCTACTGGTGGACGGCCGAAGTACCCTACACATGTAAGTGTGCGTGCCAGTGCAGGCGGGCATGTGTGGGTGTTGTCTTTCCAGTATGTGACCTTGTTCTGCTGATAGGCGTGTGGGAGAGATAATTTCCTTTCTGGCTTTCCAAATATGATACAATTGATCTTATTCTTAAAGGAACACTCCGACTTTTTGGGACTTTAGCCTATTCACCTTATCCCCCAGAGTTAGATAAGTCCATACATACCTTTTTCATCTCCGTGCGTGCTATAAGTCTGTTTGACGCACCCACCGCTAGCCTAGCTTAGCACAAAGACTGGATGTAAATGGTTGCAGCTAGCATACTAATCCAAATAAGTGACAAAATAACGCAAACATTTTCCTATTTACATGTTGTGATTTGTATAGTCACAGAGTGTACAAAAAACAAAGTCACATGAGACACAGACATATTTTAACCGTATAAATACTGGGAACTATATTCTCTGAAGGCGAAGCACTGCTACTTGGGCGGAGTGATAACCGCAGCACCTGAGACGCGCTGTGGTGAGGAGCAGAGAGCGCGTCTCAGGTGCTGCGGTTATCACTCCGCCCAAGTAGCAGTGCTTCGCCTTCAGAGAATATAGTTCCCAGTATTTATACGGTTAAAATATGTCTGTGTCTGATATGACTTTGTTTTTTGTACACTCTGTGACTATACAAATCACAACATGTAAATAGGAAAATGTTTGCGTTATTTTGTCACTTATTTGGATTAGTATGCTAGCTGCAACCATTTACATCCAGTCTTTGTGCTAAGCTAGGCTAGCGGTGGGTGCGTCAAACAGACTTATAGCACGCACGGAGATGAAAAAGGTATGTATGGACTTATCTAACTCTGGGGGATAAGGTGAATAGGCTAAAGTCCCAAAAAGTCGGAGTGTTCCTTTAATCACACTTGAAAGCCTGCTATTTATCTTTGCTTCAGTTGAGATACTGGTAAAGGATACAAATGTGATACAACATCACCCCTTAAAAATGACACGTATAAAGAAAGTGATGCCTCTTCTTAGGAAAATTAATATTTTGCATTGTGACAGTATTTTATATTTTATAATTATATAAATAATATGATAATTTATATTGGAAAATTGTCATTATTGATATTATTATTTACAATAATATATTTAGAATTGTATATTATTACCTTTTTTACAGTCTATGATTATTACTATTACATTACAAAAACACTTGATATTATTCATAATTTTATATTGATTTTAATGTTTTTTACAGCTTTAAAATATTCAATTCAATTAAATGCTGCTTATGCTGCATATTTAATGTTTAAAGTGTCTCGTTTGGGTTTGAACTGTGCGGTTTATCCTCCAGGTGCCAGGAGCTATGGAGTTCGGGATCACAAGTGATGATGTCTTCTGGCTCAGAGAGTCACCAAAAAAAACGTAAGTGACTTTTATGTTGTGAACAGATTGTGACCAGATGTGAGCAAACGCTTTCAGCACTTTAATGTGTGTTTCAACATTAAGTGGTCAAGAAATCTGCTTTACCTGTTGCTTTGCTCAAGTGTGCTTGTTATTTTTAGCCAGCTGCATTTGTTAGTCTGCAAGTACATTCCATGTATATTATACTTTTTTCCATAATGCACTTAACAAAATAAGAACTTCATTTAAAAATGAACTTCTGCTTGAACTTGGATAATATTTTCGGTTCCTTAGTGCAGCTTTCTCTTTAAGTCCTGCTAGTTATTGTCTTGGCCACATCCTTCTCAGGCAGGTGATGTTGTTTTGCCGTTGATCTGTCAGCTGTGCAGGTGCGTTTTCAGGTTGTTGCCGGTAAGAGTGTTCATCCTGTGGAAGTGGCAAGACCTTGGTGACTGATGGGCATGAGCAAGGCCATTGGCACGCATGCCTGACTTGTGCAGTCGTTTCCACCATAACAGCAGAGCGTCTGTCAGAACTGATGACACACTGTATGCTTTGGATTCTGAAGACTACCAAATAATGCATTCAGTATGATATCAACCCTCGGGCTCATTATATAAAAGTCAGTGTTGAAAATAACTTGTTTTGAGGAAACCAGGTAACTGTTTTGCCTGTGGTTCAGGTGTCCAATGGGCCTCGGGACCTACAGATGCTCGTGCAGTAAATAGTTCTCTGTCCCGTGCTTATCTCTCTCTGCTCTGCTGAAATGAAAGGAGGCTCAGTCTGGGCAGACATTAGGAAAGGCACAGCATGAACTTGCTGATCTTATCATGGTCGGGGACGGGTTATTATAGAAGTGCTGCCCAAGGTTGACTGAGTCTACAGTAGCCACAGTTTCCCACACACTTCCCAGGATAAACTCTCTTTCCTGCTGTTGTTTCTGCATGAATGTAGAAGCTAGTGGGACTTCAGCTGAAGAGAATGTTATGATAGGCCAAAGAGTAAATGCCTACGCTTTTTTAAGGACATGACGAAATTTTTTTTTTGGCCTTTTGCTACATTTTATGCTACAAATTTAAACAGCCCTATTATTTAAGGTTGCAAATTTTGTTTTGGAGGTCTACTACAATAGTAGGCATCCAAAGTCAAAAAACACTGACAGCGCGAGTTGGAAACAAAACGACCATTACCATATCTGAATTTCAGCTCCGGAGGCTGCACTTCAATACACAGTGATATGAAGAGTAACCATTTTAACCATATCAATTTGAGGCTTTTCTTTGGAAGTGCATGCAAAGTGGATTTGCTTTCGCAGCTCAGAAATCCGCATCTTCTCGACATGTCGACAACACAAACTCGCCTCAGCTACAGTATTTGAAGGCGAGTCAAAGTAGACGTTGTTCCTAGGTACCCAATGAAGACCATAGTTTATTATGGCATTATGCAAATTTGTTACAAACTTGCGTAGGTTTGTGCAGGAAGTAAGACGACTCGTTTCAGGCCGTTCAAAATTGGTTCTTTCTTTTGGGAGATAATAACTCAATAACTATTCACAATAACTATCCACAACGGCTATATTACACACTACATGAAAAGTAATATCTGAAAAAGCATAATAGGGACGTAATGTACTTGGAAAACATGGCAATGGACTCCAACTGGGGTTGGAATCAGCAAAGGCTTGTTGATATGACATTGATATCTGGGTCACAATATGATTATGATTGCGAGTCTTTTTGTTTAGTGTGTAGTTATACAAAATTGTGATTTAATTGTATACTTTCATGCACTTGTTTTTCATTCATCTGCATTGGACTTAGCATAATAATAATATTACGCTCAGTCTAAGCTTGGATTTGTGTAAGTAGAATGAATATAGCATGTTTTTACAAAGAATAACTTGTTTCATCTGTACTGTTAGCACACAAATGATTCCCTAATCAACAGATTAGAAGTTTTTTTTTACCTATACACATGCAAATTCATGCAATGCGTTTTGTTCTCATGTATCCTGTGTTTGTCATTCTATATAAAAAGGAATGTCTCTTGTACTAATCCAGACAGAAGGTTTCTAGTCCATGTCATTCCTTATCATCAGACTTGTTCCACCATGGCAGGTTAGAGCTTAGGGATGTGTTTTGTTGGGGGGAAAAATGGCAGAAAGGAGGTCTGAAATTTTGCTCTTAATCCCTCCATAAGCTGCCACACAAAAGAGCACTAAGTGCAGATGTGCATTAGCAGTGTTGTACACTGAATGCGTGTGATGTTGCAGTGGTGTAAGTGGGTATCACTCAGCAGTGCTGTTTGGGGACATCCATGAGGATTAGACCTTGTGTTAACAATTAGACTTCACCATGACCGTGAATCTCAGGGCGGTGTACTCGTCGACCACACACAGTCATTTCTCTTTGTTCTTAGGTCATCTTTATTGTGTTTTCCTGTCTTTGTTTTGGTGTAAGTAAAGTGGTGTGCATTTTATTCCTTTTAGGTTGTTTAGTATCATTTTACAGAATGTTTCCCATATCCTGTGACAAATTGATTGACTCTTTCGCATTCGTTTCATGTTTGTCGTTATGTGACCTCATTGTTCATGTCGTTTATCTGTGATCTCATGAATTGCTGTTTTCTGTGTGTTCCAGGTTGGTTGTTGGTGCCAGTTGTATCCTTCAAAGCCGACACTTACTTTACAGGGGAAGTGTCTACCTATCGAGATGATTCTATTTTAATTTACATGTTCGACCAAATGCTGATAAGTCAGATCATTTAGTCTGTTTTTCTTTGCCAGAATGCCTTTAAATATTTGTTTTCGTGTCTTTACATGTTATGATATTAAGCATAATTATTGTATGATCATTGTACAGGTACATGCAAATGCACTCAATGACATATAGATTCTGGCTAATTCACTGAGTTTTTATACCACTTAACATAGATTTACTCATTTAACCTCCTAGTGTCTGGAATGCAATTTCAATTAGCATTTTATTTCCTAAACACCAGTTGTATTACCAATTTCCCAGAAGTCCATGAGTTATTCCTCAGATTATGAGATAATAAATTAGCAAGGAAATATTAAAAAGCTTTTTTAAATCACTTTTAGAAACAGCAGACTGTGGACAAGATTTGCTAAACAGGGCAAGTATGCTTGCGGCCACAATCTAATAAAAGTTCCTATGCGAGTGGATATTTCAGTGAGTTATTTCCTGAGAATTCACATATTCGATGTCCTGTCAGATGCAAAATTGATTAAAGGAATAGTTCACCCAAAAAAATGAAAATTCTGCCATCATTTACTCCTCTTCAAGTTGTTCCAAAACTGTATGAAAAGATGTATGAAGAATGTCGGTAACCAAACAGTTGATGGGCCCCATTGACTTTCATAAGAACATCGTAACAAATTTTTTGAATAGTCCACTTATTTTCGGATGATCAGTTATCAAAGCTCGGTAAACACAGCAGGGGTCATGATGGTCACAGACACAGAGATCTTAATCTTTGATTTCACCTAACTGATTCTCACTAAAAACCCTCAAACGTTGTTTTAAGTCATTTGAGGTTTTATTTTGACGTGACATAAAGCAGGGATATCTTATGTTGGTGAGTTGTTTACATACTTTTTAATTGGTCTTCCCATTACCACCATTTCACGAATTAGGCATTGCCTCTTCTTATGTGACTTTTCCCAATTCATTCTCTATTACCCCCCACCAAACCCACGGCATGCTTTAAGGCAGGGATGGGCAAATTCAGTCATGGAGGGCCAATGTCCTAAACAATTGAGCTCCATCCCAAATCAAACACCTGCCTCAATATTCAAGCAATCCTGAAGAAATGTTTCAGGTGTGTTTGATTAGAAATGGAGCTAAACTCTGCATGACAGTGGCCTTCCAAGGTCGGAGCTCCCCATCCCTGCTTTAGTGGGTCTGTTAAAACTCAATGGGCTCAGGGGAGGGATGGGAGACGCTGCCTCACGCCGTAACTTTAACTGCTGGTGTCGCTGTTGGACTGTGGCACTTTAGAAAAGTGAGTGATTTATACACTTTTTCATGTTCCATAATATTTGTGCTATTTTCCTTCACTGTGTGTGTGAAGATGTAGCACTGGAGTGTGCTGGCTTCCTTACAGGCATTGGGCTGGACACCACTGTGATGGTGCGTAGTATCGCCCTCCGGGGGTTTGATCAGGTACTACACCTCTGTTTTGGTGCATCCCTCTTTGATATATTTAGAAGGAAAAACAATCCTCTTTTTTTATTAACCTGATTTAATTTGTTTTTGAGTTGTATAATACACTGATAAGAATAGTTATTAGTCTCTATAACATTGCTTTTGGTTTGGCCATTCTTTAATGTGACTCACCCTGGTAGATCCGCCAGGCTACATGGCAAAAACAGGATGAGAGACCTGGCTAGACTTGTTTTATGACTCTGTTTTTTAAGCATTCATCTTTAATTAACGGTTATAGTGTTCTGACAGGAGATTTGTCATGTTATTATTAAGCATTACACCCGCAGTATGGTCTGACAGGAGTAACAAAATGACAACTTAGAGCAAATTGCTCAGTTGAAATTAAATCTGTTTAAGAAAACAAATGAGGAAATGCTTTTAAATGTATTTGTTTAGTTACTTTTTGTTAGATTGTACAGATTGCAACTATGTAGATAATCTCTTATCTTCATTTCAGTTAAAATACTTATATAAAAATACATATGTAATAATATGCAGAGGTAAAATTAATAGTTTTTGTAGAATTTGTTTGGCCATTTTTGTAGGGGTTCTATTTTTGTCCATATGATGCAATATAAGGTATTAACTTTTAGTTACTAAAAAGTAATTTAGCTATTTTTTTTCTGAAACTATTCAGCTTTTAAGCTATTCAACTGTTCAGCAATTAAATATATATTTTTTCTGTTTTTTTTCTGTTTGTCTCTCAGCAAATGTCTGGTTTAGTCACAGACTACATGGAGGCATATGGGACCAAGTTTTCCTGGAGGTGTACCCCAAAAAGTGTGGAAAAGCTCCCATCTGGCCTTCTCCAGGTCACATGGATGGATCTAAAATCCAAAGAGGAACATAAAGACACCTTCAACTCAGTACTTTGGGCTGTAGGTACGTCACAAATACATACACAACATAATTTAATTTATCAGGCACTTTTCTTGAGAGGAATTCCACAAAATTACATTTTGTTTTCATTTTTTCAGAATTTCTTTGCAATTTTTAAAAATTATTATTATAATAATTACTTCTAAAACTGTGGTCACTTCATAGTGTCTTTCTTCTCACATAATAAAAGAATTGACCTAAATAAAAGTAAATCCTTTGATACACTGATCACACTGTCAGGGTTTATTTAGCGATTAATAAATGCCTGACTGTGCATCATCTCTTATTTGTATCAGAACTGCTCTAACATAGATTAATGCTTCAGGAAAATATGTTGTACAGTTGACTCATCCGCTGTAATCAGTGATGCTTTCATCACATTTCAAAAGCATAAATCCTCATAATACATATATCAGTTTGCGCGTATATTGTCCTACACCACTGCGCTGCTATATCAGCAAAAATGGGACTGTCAGGCCTGAAAACAGGGTAATAAAGAGAGAGGGATGGAATCATCTAGGGAAGTGTTAATCACTGGACTGAGGTCTGCTCTTCAGGACCAGGATGCACCAGGGGCCCTGGGGTCACCCCATTCCCTGCTTTGTTCTCTTGCTCTGGGTTTTCCTGCAAGGGTTGCATGTCTCTCTGTACGGAAACCCACCCAGAGCTTCCAGAGTTTTCCCCTTTACTCATCTCTCAGCATCTCTGACTGCAGATGCCAACCTCTTCTATGTGTTTGTATCTTTCACTCATCTGATTTCTCTCAATCCGGTTACAAGGACAATGAAAGGAATATAGGAATATCCGGTTTATTTATTGATGGTGTGAGAAGATAGCGGAGCACAGGTTACAGTGTACAGTGAGGATGAGACTTCAGCTTCCTGTCTGGATGTGTGTGACATGGAGAGAGACATAGTGATCTGTAGTGACTCCTGCTGCACTGTATGGCAGCCTTGGCTTTGGGTGTTGAGTGGCTTTCTCTGGCCTTTTTGTTCCTGAGATTTTGGTCCAGACTTGTTTGCTGTTGAGGGATTAAAGTTCTCTCCGTTTTACAATCCTTTCAGTGTGTGTAGACTTTTACCACAGATGTGTGTACATTATTTAGTCAAAAATACAAACTGAAATGGTTTAAAACCTAGTGTGTAAAATCTCGCGATTTATTAAAAAGCGTGGCAGTTGGCCAATATAATGCTGATATACATAATTTAAAAAAGGCAAATTAGACATACACAAATTGCTAAAATTAGAAGAACACTTCATCATTATTATTATTATTTTACCATTTTATGTAGTACTTATATTATGATTAATTTAAAAAAATTAAATTAACAAAAAATTTAAACTATCCATTGTAATTAAATAGACACTGGTTTTACTTAAAATGTAAAAAGAAATGTTTTATTATATTGATGTATTACTTAATAAATTTAAATAATAGAATTATATAATATAAATTTAATACAATTTGTAGTAATTCATTCAGAAATTTTAGAATTAGGATAGAAATTATTAACAATATGTGCACTATCCATTTAAAGGAAATGGGCACTTATTTTACTCAATTTTTTTATTATTATTATTTTACTATTTTATATAGTATTTACAATTTAGTGAAATTTGTAGTTTTTTTTTTTTTTAAGTATTAACTGAAAAGTGTACATTTATTTTACTCTTATTATTATTTTACTATTTATGTAGTTCTTACAATTTACCAAAAAATGGAAATTATTAACACCATATATGCACTATCCATTGAAATTAAATTAACACTTATTTATTAATGATTTATATAATGATAAAAAGCAGTTTGGTAATCTCAAAGTTTTTGTTTCAAAGTTAAAATATTGATCTATCACCAGTTAAATCACACATGCTTTCTTGTGGTTTAATACTTTCTCTATGAAAAATGAGACTGCAATGTTCAATAAATATTATTAATTGTGAGAATCAAAACAAACAGCTCCACCATCAAGTACTATCATGCATTAGCGTAGGGGGTTTATGGTTGCCAACCTGTAGCATTAATACTCTGTTTTATAGTCAAGTAGTGTTAGTATTGACTGTTGTCATAGTGAAAAGAGCTTTCAGAGGCTGATATCCTCTATTACACCCTCGAGAGGATGCTGTGTTTCCATGCTGTGGCCTCTCTGTTTCTCCATCCTGCTCTCTTTCTCGCAGTGGAAGCATAAAAAATGACTTTTTTTTATCTCCCTCATGGCGACTTCTAGAGCAGCCCCATCCCTCCTCCTGTCTTTCACCCCCAGCGGAGCTCTTCCACCCTTCCGCTCCTCCATCCTTCCTCTGGGCTGCGCCCCTCTGCAGGTGGCTGTGCTAAACGCCAGGAAAGAGAACATTTCCTCCATATTTTAGGTGTACCCCTTTTATGAGGACTGAAGAAGGGAAGTAATATATATTGTGTAAATATGCTTTCCTATTGGTTCACAATTGTGTGCATATAATGTATTTTGAATGATTCTCGTTTTCTTTTTATACGCTATTAAAAATGACCATGATAACTATAATTTTCATAAAAAATTCATAGTTACTGCAATTATTGTTACTGTAATGTTAACGTGCTGTTTACCATAATTGAAAAATTTAAATTTAAAGATGACGTGTTTATTCTTTGAATGTTAAATTAGCATTAGACTTGTTTTTTTGGCCAAAAGTTTTCCATTTAGAGGTGATCTGCATGACTGCATCGGCCAAAAATACTCTTTCTACCGGTTAACATTTCGTAGTTCCCCATTATGTCTTTTCCACAATCTTGTCACTGGACGGTTCATTTCTGTTTTCAAATATCTTTGAGTGAATTTGGACTAAATATACCATAATGTGATGATTTCCACAGTTTCGTGTGTGGACATTAAACTATTATCTATAGTGGCATTATGGAGAGATGGGGGCAGTGTTCAGGAAATATTTTCAAATCTGTTTGAAATTACACACTTCACCTTAAAGAAAATGTGCCAATTTGTTTTTGTTTTTTTTACAGTAGTAACCATAACTTTGATATTTTGGAGGAAACAGATCATTTTTGTAAGATTAGTTCTCTATTATGTCTAGGCTAAGCCACTATTTTGAGTTTAATTCATTAAGGCCATACGTTTGGCTTTTTCACTCTGGTGTTTTGCATTACATTTGCCAGGAGCTGTTTTTCTGCTACTGTGCAGTAAAATTTAATTAACATCACCATGGAGAATTACAGATCTCACACTGACGCCATGTGTGACTGAAATGGAAGGCGACTCAATCCTCTCTTATTGTTTCATCCGTTCTTCTCTCCGGCCTGTTTAGTCGATAAGGCTCATTTAAAGTCTTGCCAGGCAGATTGTTGTGTCTAATTAGCATGTTGGCCTTGATATTTCTTTCTTGTATAACTCCAGGCTTTGTTCTTGTTCATTATCAGAGGCAGCTGTTTGTGTACGTGTGTGTGTGTGTGTGTGTGAGAGAGAGAGAGAGAGAGAGAGAGAGAGAGAGAGATGGTGTGGGTTTGAATTCTCAGGCATAGCCCTTATCAGTGGTCCTCTGTTATTGTGTCCAGCCTTCACAATGCCCAGCGACGTTCCAGGAGCCCAAATCAGACAGAAAAAGAGACAGGAAGTGCAGAGCAGGAATGCCCCATTTCAGTTTGACGCAGATACTGGTACTTTTCCCGCTTTACAGTAATCATCGTTTCGGGTCGGTTTTTTTTAGTTGAGCCAATAA